ATCGTTAGAAAAATATAACATGCATGGGAAACAGTTTAAAAAGAATATTTTACTTTTATTTATGAAATTCTAGTGATATCCAAACTAATGATTACCTCATAACATAAACAACATTATTCAAAAGTTCAGCAATAGCTGCCATAAAAAGCAACTACAACTGTGAGTATTATCACCTATCTTTATTGGTTTACTAGTTAAAAGCTTCATGTTGCAATGTCCTAATATTGGGAATACATGAGTCTTATTAAATTTTACATGAGTCTTATTAAATTTTCTTTATAATAAGAAGCTATTGCTTCTTAATTTTCTCAAATCCCAAAAAGAAGAGAATAATCCATACGGATATATGTATCCACATTTACGGTGAACTTTTTTGAACTCTATAAACAATTGTAGATGTAGTTGGGACAATCTTATTTAGTCAAAGATTTGATGTAATTGGGATGATACATCCTTGGTTGTGTGATTAGTTTACATAATGGAAACTTTTAATATGATGAGTTCGGAAATTTACAGAGTCTGTGTAACTGATTCCGGTTTCAGTTCCATCAAATTTCGAGTCTGACTATGTTAAAACCATGGATTTAACCTGTTGATTTTGATTTTATTAAAACCATGTGTCTATGTAAGGTCTGGTTTTTTGTTAAAATTGATTCAACGAGGAAATGGAATCATTACATTGTATGAGGACAATCTCTATTTAACTAACTCCAAATTTGAATCCTATAATAAATTATTAAAAAGTTTATTACACTAAAAGATATATAGTATCAATTCAAGATTCAAGGAAAGACAAATATATCATATTGCAATGTGATCGAAAGAGTTTCTATCGAGATCCATTAAGATTTGATAGACATTAGTTTGAAGTTTTTTGTTAAGTGGACGATTGTGTAATAATTTTATCTAATTAATATGTTCTCTAACAAACAGATTGGTGGTGTAAAAATGCCTAAGGAAGAAAAAAGTTAAATGCTAAAATGAGGGGTATAAATGTTAAAAAACACCAGACCATGGTTGTATATGCAATGAGCAAAGAAAAAAAGATACAAGTGTCATTTTTTTTAATTTTTATAAATTAATAAATTAAAATAAAATGAGGTTTGATAAATATAACTTTTTGGAAACCTGATTGTGTGTTTGTTTTAAACAAAATTTAAAATTTCTATCTCTTAAATTAATAAGGGTACAATTGTCTCTATATAATATTTTCAGCACCTATAAATTAAATCGGATTTCTTTTTTCAAAACTAATACTATTTGATTACTTTTTTTGTTTAGACCTAATTGGAAATACTTTTAAGTTTCAACGTCGTCTTTTTTCTTCTCTGCTTACACGATGACTCGACGACCCCCATTGACCGGTAAATCACATCTCTTTTCCTACTGTTGAGTGATGAATTATGAGTTTGTAATTAAAGTATTATAAGCTTTTTTTAATAAATAATAGTAATTAAAATACACGTGGCTGAATTTTTATATTCAATCTTGATTTTTCTTATATTCTTTTTCAGTCCCTGAAGCCAATCCAAATGGAATTCGTGTACGTTGGAATAACCTTCCAAAGAAAAAGAACATTCATAGAGATTTAAAAGCGGCTTTTAAACCGTTTTCTGAAATTATAAACATAATTCCAGCTGTTATGGGGAACAAAAATACCAGGGAACGCATTTGCAAAGGCTTTGCCTTTGTTGATTTTAAGTCAGAGAAAGAGGCCAATAGGTACTTTACTTATAAGAGTAAATTATAGGAATGATTGTTTGGCTAATTTATATGTTTAGTTTCTAACTTATTTTTTTAATTTGGAAAGTCTTTATAGTTTGTTTTTATTGTGCATTTGGTCAATGTTTTATCTAAAAAGACTATTTTGCTCTTAATTTTTTAATTTATTTAAACAAAGTGGAGTAGGTTAGATGAGATAGAAGTGGGGTTGAGTGTGTGTTTATTTAAATAAATTAAAAAATCAACGGTAAACTAGTCTATATAGGTAAGACAGGACCTAGCGCACAACAAAAACAAACAGTAGGAACCTTTCGAGTTAAAGAAATAATTTAGGGACCAAACGTGTAAATTACCCCAAACCATAGGGATCATTCGTGTAATTTACTCTACTTATAATAAAATCAAAGAATTTCGAGTAAATCTTGAAATAAAAAACTAGTGATTTTGACTTCAAATGTCAAACTTTTGAAAATCCTAAATTATGTGTTTCGACTTTTGGCAGATTTGTGGACATTTTTTCAACTTAGCCCATTACTTTTGGAAAGGTTCAGAAGCAAATCAGATGTGAGATAATGAAATCAAGCTCTCCAAATCCACCTTCCATTAAAGCACCTATTCATGGAACAAAAAACTCTAATCCTGTGGCTGAAACACTATTGGATTCATACGTGGAGGATGTTGCTTTTGATACGTTCAAGAACGTTGATGAAAATGGTGATGAATTTGATAATGTGATTGAAGAAAAAGATGAATCTGAAATGGAGTTTTCAGAGCCATTAAAAAAGAGAAGAAAGTTAGAGAAAAGGGGAAGAAGAAGAAGATGATGATAATTAAGATGAAGACAGTTAAAAAGAAAGTAAAGAAAATGAGAAGCTTGTGACCATTGTTTTTGTAGTTAGATTATACTAGTATTTTGATCTTCCATGTTTATGTTAACAGTTTTGTTTTTTATCGTCAGATAAACATATAAAGTTTATGTTTACTTTTTGTGGTCAAACAAACTCAAATATATATATATATATATATATATATATATATATATATATACTAGCAGTGCACCCGCACAAAACGGCGGGGCGTGTAAATTCTTTTAGTGATATGTTTCCTCTACAAAAATGTTTTGTTACAAAAGAAAGTACACGTCGAAGACAAAATAATCAAACTATGGTGTTATTTGGGAAATGAAGTCATTTTTTGTTCCTGGACGGTGGACTTTATAGTAGAGGAGGGAGCAAAGAGGTATATGCGATTGGAGGGATATTTGAATCAACATGCTAAATTTAAGGATATCTAAAAGGGTTCAAAATTTGAATGAATCCGAGATTTGAGGAAACCATATCAAATTGTTGAGAAATATAAGGAGATTTGATGATAAATATTTGAATTCAAAATATGGTTAAAATTTAATATTATTTTATTAATGATTAGTTGTACTATCAGCTTCATCATTTGGACGTCTTAAAAAAATATTATTATTATAATCAATCTATTTTTAGAAATAGTTAGATTTCTTTTATAAGATAGTAAAGATATATATATATATATATATATATATATATATATATATATATATATATATATATATATATATATATATATATATATATATATAACAACTAGGAGTGGAATTGATACGGTACCAAGTTTCTTTCCTCCAAATCGTGTACCGTATCAATTATAATTGGCATAAAGTTTTATCTACCACTATCGTACCAATGATACTTGGTAGCAACTTAGTTCGTTACCAACAAATTTGGTTGATACATATTGGTATTGATATATACATAAATATTTAAATAATATTTATACGTGAAGAGTTTAAGACTATAATCTATATAAGACTTCACATTATAATCATCACTGAGTGGTTAGAAAGTTTTCCAAATGTGAACGTGAGTTAAAGTTGTGGTCGTCGCTTGTTTTAGTAAATCCTTTTAGTGTTATGTACCTTCATTAACCTTGTGTTAGTAATTTCTTTTACTATAATGTTTCGTTCGAAAAAGAATCAATATCAATTAAATTATATTAGTAACTCAGACTATTACTTTTTAGTTATTACTGCTAACTAAAACTTGAAAATGTAAGGATTGATATATATATATATATATATATATATATATATATATATATATATATATATATATATATATATATATATATATATATATATATATATATATATATATGGTACAACCGTGGTATTCAAAATTTTATACCGTTACCGTACCAAGACTACTTAATTGGCATGGTATTACCGGCCAAACATATTGGCTACCAAACATGTTGGCTACCGATTTTATTAGTTCGGTTGGTAACATGTTAGTTGGTTCTCCGTGATACATTTTTACCGACCCTATGATATCATAGTCATTCATTTTGGCTGAATCCGATTTAAACAATTACAAAATTGAATGACCACTTTTACAACTTACATTATTGAATATATTATATATTATTGTGGGTTAAGCCCCCAAAATATCAACATGGGTGAAATAATGTTACAAGATGACTACTTAAAAAAAAAAAGATTGATGTTGTAAATGGGTAACAAAGTATTATCAGGAAGGTTAATAAGTGAATCTTTTGTTAATAAAAATACCCACAATTTAAATTAACAAATATTCCAATCGGTTACCTTGATACCTTATAACTTATAAGTTATTTTTTTCAAAAGACAAAACTGCAAAAATGGTCCGTGTGGTATGCATTTTTTTAAGTTTTAGTCCAAACCATGATTTTTTTGGATTGGTGGTCATTTTGAGCTAGTTTCTTTACGTTTTTGGTCCCTCAATAAACTGGAAATACTATTATGCCCTTCAGGTATATTTTTTATGCTTTTTCTATTTAATTTAAATGAAAAATAAAATAATTAACTAATTTGGGACCCACATCTCTCTCTCTCTCACACACACACACACACATATATACACACACTTCCCCAACTCATTCTTCTTCATCTTCTTATTCCTCACCTGCACTCTCTACCCATCCAGTTATGGTGCCCAATTTATTAAACCATGTTCCCAAATAAAAGACTGCTCCGATTCTTCCAAAACCCAGAAAACAAAATCGAGTGTGAGTATGTGTCTTTTAATTTTTCAGTGTGTGTGTATTAAGCCCAAATCAGTTGTGGGTGGTAGCATCAGTTTCCAAATTAGCTTGTGCAAATGAGCCTGTTTGAACACTAAGGTAACTTCTTCCATGAAACTATTAGCCTGCTTGATTTCTGGGTCCAAAGCTTCAACCATGGAGTTCTCTTCGCTGAAATACCTCCATGCTCATTCTGCTAGATTCATATCCCCATCTCCTTCTTGTGGTTCTTTTTCGGTTACCAATTCTAATAGCACTACACTGAAGCCATATACATCTATCCCCTCATTTACGGTTGTTGAGTTAGCATACTCTGCAATCAATCAGTATCTGGAGACAATCTTGCAAGATTCATACACCAAGATCTGAGATTTATTTTATTATACGAAAATCAAGAAATTTAAACATTTAGAAACTAACCTGTAAGAAATTGATACAAGGGGAGGAAGGAGTAAGGTTCGGGGATGTTTGGGGCTCCTATACTCGACAAAATAAACATGGTGCTGGTGGGTTTTTACCATGACAGCGAGGAGTAGCGGAGGGAGCTGCTCTGATGGCCGGCAGCGATGGTTCTTGGTTGTAAGTGAAGAAGAAGGAAGGGGAAGGTTGGTCTGGTGAGGTATAAGAGAGAGAGAGAGAGAGAGAGAGAGAAAGAGAATGAGAAAGAGAAAGAGAGATTTATTATATATATATAGGGAAAAAAAATGGAAAATAAATATAATAAGGGCAATTTCTTCTTTTCAGTTTATTGAAGGACCAAAATCTCAAGCAAACTATCTCAAAAGGACCATCAATCCAAAAAAGTCGTGGTTTGGACCAAAACCCTAAAAAAAATACATACCACATGGACCATTTTTGCAATTTTGTCTTTTCAAAACAACCATATTTTGAAAAAGAAAATAAAAAGAAGATAAAATTGCAAAAATGGTCTCTGTGGTATGCATTTTTTTGGGATTTCAATCCGAACCTCGACTTGTTTGGATTCATGGTCCTTTTGGCCTAGTTTGTACGCAAAATTGGTCCCCCAACTTAACTGTCGTTAAGTTTTTGCTGTTAACCTCCTCATGTGCATCTCACATGAGGGTATGTTTGTCTTTTCACTTCTAAAGGACCATTTTTGCACCTAAAAAAATATATATTTTTTAAAAAGTAATACAATAATGAAAAAATAAAAGATCTTTCTCTCTTTCTCTCTCTCTCTCTCTCTCTCTCTCTCTCAAAAAAGCATAGAGACCCAGATGATGTTATGATGTCATCCATCCTCTTCATATACAAATCAGTTTTCACATTCATATACAAGGAGATGTAATAGTGTTTCTGTTTACATAAAACGTCTGCATAAAGATTTCTTAGCTGCCTAAGTTCAAAACTAAACACCATTCCCACTATCAACTTCACTTTGAAGTATCTACTAGAAGACCATGTGTAATCCAATTTCAATCATGAATCAAAACTTATCTCAATAACCTTGCTCATGAGTTGAGCGATCAACCAATGCCTGCATATGCCTCCAACTTATCTCCTCTCTTGTCTCCCCATTTGCAGCCTTCCAAGCCCTAAAAACGATGTCAACATATGCCTCTAACATTGACTTCCTCCAGAAAGGAATTTGAGACCTAATCATTGCTAGTGATTCCTTCACAAGTTGTCTAGATAACCTAAATAAGAATGTTAAAAATCATATTTCTTGACCCATTTTCAAATACAATGGGAATATTAAGCATCTGATGAGCATTAATTTCAAGTCCTATATACTCTCATCCTCAAAATCAAACAACATGAATGCTTCACAAAGAGCAAACACTCTATGAACATTCACTTTGTTCTTTAAAGCAGAGAAAAAGGCGACCAAATCAAAAGTTTATCAAGGATTGAACCCTTGATTTGGAAGAATCAGAAGAAATCAATAGAATGAGAACAAATTGACAATCAATCGATAGCAATCAGCAAAGTAGAAATTGATTTTGATTTTGCGAGTTAACCCAATCGATAACCAACATCTTGTTGTTAAAATAAAGAACCCACATGAGGAAGACGACGGCGCGGAGGATGAATCCGACAAAATCGATGTCACAACTAGCATTTTTGCTAGGAAATTCTACTCTCATGCAATCATTCACCTAGTGTGATAACTTGTACTGTAAGTGAATACTATGCTCCATTCCTATTCAGATATATCTCATATGTTCAAATAAGGGTTGGAAACCCTAGAAATCCCGACTCAAGTTCTTTATGGACTAGGATTCTCTTAGTGGATCTAATGGACCAATAAACTTTCAAATTGACTATTTGGGCTCTAATTGGACCCACAATCATGAAACTAGATTTTTTTTGGGCCATGTGGGCCTAAAATAATTCATTTTCATCTCTAATAGGCCTTGTTGGGCCATAATGTCCATTTCTTTATACAACTTGGGCCGTGAACTACCTTAAAGGCCCAATGGGCCGAAAAGTATTCTTAAGCTTCATAAAAATCGAGCAAAGCCAAGATTGAGCCCAAACCACTTCAACTCCTTCCTACTAGCCCAAATTCTTGGCCCAAGGTGTTTACTAGACAAAAAAAAGGAAATGAGAAATTATGAGCAAGTGCCACCTCAATATTGCATGGTGGTCACCCATGCACCAAAACCCCACATACAACAAGGTGATATCTCATATAACTAGGCAATCCTTCTCTCTCCCTCTCCCCTCTTTAAAACTCATGGTCATAAGGCCTCCTCACCATTATTCTTACTTTCTAAAACTCTCACAAGAAGTCTCTTAAGAACTCTCCTACATTTCCCCTCAAAATTCTCGAGTTTTGGTGTAGTTTCAAGAGGATCTTCACCTAGATCATCATCTTTGGTAAGTTTTGCTTAGATCCATGGTTTAGCTTCTTAATCTCTTCAAAAATCACTCCTCTTACACCATATTTTCGTGGATCATGACTCTTAGATCCATCTTGAATTCGAAAACTCCTCTCAAAAAGCAAACCCCAAGGTGAGTTCATACCCCCATGTTTTTGGTTTTTACTTGTTTTGGGGGAGAATACAAGTTTATTTGTGTAGATCTATGTGTATATGCATGATTATGTGTGTTTTCTTGAAACATTTGGTGATTATGTGTTGATTACTTCACTAATCTAAAAATATGTTAAGAAACTTGAAGTTTATCACTAGGATCTTCATATGCATCTTGAGAAAAGTATGTTTTATCACAAGTATTACATGTAAACATGTAGATCTGGGATTTGTATACTTTATATAGCAAAAATAAGTGTTGTGTTCAAAGATTTATAAACTAAACTCACAAAATAGCTCTTGACATAAAAGTTTTGGTCCAATCTCGGACTATTTTGACCATCCAAATGGAATTATTTTTCAAAACTGTTTTACATGGATAAATTTCAGGTTTATACCTTTAAATGACTACTCGCAAGTTTTCATACGATTTTTCTACAATTTTTGGCGAATTTTACAAAACTGCCTATCATATTTGAAATAATTTCGGACCAACCTGTGAATATGAGTAATTTCACACTAGTTTGAGGCTATCAAAAATTATGAGAAAAATTGTGAACAAAGTAGACAAAATTTCCAAACTTCCAGAATTTACGGATCCAAATTTCGACTTACGATGAATTTTCTACAAATTTTCTAAAAACAAGGTCGGAAAACCCAAAAACCAAAAAAATGTGTATTTTCACAAAAACCAAGCCAAAAATGATATTTTTGACAAAAATGGATTTAAAATGTTATTTTTATCACAAAGTAGTCATCAACACAAGTTTTTAACAAAATTGGAGATTAAAGTGTTATTCTTACAAAAATTGGGCCTTAATTGTAAATTTTTGGCTTATTGGGCCACGAACGTCGTTTTTACAAAAAGGTGGGCTTTTTATATCAACTTAGTAAATAATCAAGCTAAAATAAACAAAACAATAACAAACGGGTTAAAAACGATATTCATATCCTTATTGGGCCTGGAAATAATGTACATGTTTAGCGGGCCTTAATGTCCTTTTACATGTATATTGGGTCTAGGATAGACATTCACATTCCTTTTGTGTCTGGAAATAATAGACACGTATAGTGAGCCTCAGTGGTTCACTTACATGTTTATTGGGCCTGCGAATAGGTTTTATATGCATTCTTCTTTTTATGTTATTTTAGTGAATACTTGAACTAAAACCAATGATAAACCAACAAATGGATTTAATTTGATCATTTTCTAGGTTATTGGGCCTTAGTGACCTATTTCTATGTGTGATAGGTCCTGTATACTATTTACATGTTTATTGGGCCTCATTGACCCATTAACATGATGGGTTTTGGTCCTAAGAACATCCTATGTACTCATACAAACCCTAATGCTTGGATCTAGGTTTCTCTATTGTACATGCAAGTTATCCAAGACTATAAACCCTAATTCTGGCATTCAAATAATCATATTAACATGAGAATAGGCTTATAGTGTTACCTTGATTGTTATTTAGCAATAACAATCCCAAATCTCCTTGTATTGACTTTAAAAAGCTTAGAGTCACAAATGTCACCCCTCTAATGGTTCACAAACACCATAAGCAAGAGGATGAAGAGGAGAGAGGATGGAGGCTACCAAAACTCGTGTGAAACCCTATCAAGAAGCTTAGCCACGTTTTTGGTCCTTAAGGGATCTATATATAGTGAGGCAATTAGGGTTATCTAACAAGGAAACCCTAATTTGGATGCTTAAGCCCTAAGCAACCCATGGAGCCCTTTCCTTAAGGCCTTGGACGATTTCATATGGGCTTCTCCATAGAATTCGTCCACCTTATAATATAAGGCAATCCATGGCCCAAATTATAATTATCTTATAATTACAATTCCAGTCCCTTAAGTTTAATTAATCTCTTTTAGTCACAAAACTAATAACCAATTAATTATTGACTAATATTAATTAAGCAATATGATTTCTCCTTTAATATATTATTCCCACAATATATTAATAAATCATATTTAATCCTTTCTCTCCATAATTCATCCTATCAAGTTGCTTTGGTGAAGGCAACCCAAAAGGACCATGCACCATCGGGTCAAGTACATACCAAAATAGTTATGGACTTAGACACTAATCCAACATAACATGTGCGACAGACCTTGGATACTTGGGCCTGTAAATACTTTATATGTGAAATGGGCCTTAGTTGTCCTTTCATATATATTTCGGGCCCATGTTATATAATCTCATTCCATTTGGGTCTTGAAATGATTTACATGTTTAGCGACGCCTTAGTGGTTCATTTACATGGATCATTGGTCCTAGAATGAGTTTATACATTTTTCTTCGCGTAAATTCGATTAAGGATCTAGCGAGTTTTTATCGGTTGGCACCTATTAAGTGTACGATCGTAGCCTGTAGTTATAACCAGAGTCTCCTGGAGGGAGAACGGGGATTTGTGTATAGATCTATACGGGGTTGACACCCCCCACCTCAGTTGTTCGCTACAGTTAGACCTACTCAGTCTAGGGTGACAAAAACCTTATTCTATTTTCCGTCGGTGTCCAACGACGCCAAGACAGGTGAAATTGTCATTATTTAGTATGGTTATGACAGCTCGCTTAGAGGAATTAACCTTATGAACTTTACGGAAGACATCTTCTTTTTTTTAGGCAACGTTGGGTTGTCTGGGAACATTCTCTTTACATGATCTTACATTCTCTCTACATTCTCTTTACCTTTTTAGTCAAACAAACAATAGCATACATGCATTAATACAAGATCTAACACAAACACACTAAACAGTTGTAACGCCTGTGTTTCTGGGCTTGCCATTTTTAGCAATGTAATAGTCTAGGTTAACCTTTGTAACCCGTTTTGAAATAATAGAAGTGTATTATTTGAGTATTATGTGTTTTGTACTTAATTGCTTAATTATGTGGTTTGATTAATTAAGAATAAAAATAAGCATCAAAATTTAAGTGTAAAATAAACTTGATATCTTTAGATAATGTTGTAGTAGTTGAAAGAAGGTTTCTGAAGATATAAAGAATGCCGAAATCCGAGTTATAACGAAGAAGTTATGACCTGTCGAAGTTTCGCGACAGAACCGGCAACGCTGAATGATGTAAAAAATGAAATTTATGTTAGATCGATATTTAGCCTTAGTGATCTAAACGAGAATCGAAGATCTCGTTGTTAGTATCGAAGCGATAAAAAGTTAGGCGAAAACGGACGTCAAACGAAGAAGTTATGAATTTATAACGAAATTTTCTGTCCCGGCCTATTAAAAATAAATAATAAAAATAAAGTCAAAGTTAGCCGACAGAGTCTAAACGAAAGTTGTAGAGCGTAGTCTCACCTTCACGTGGATATAAAGTACGTCGAAAACAGAGTTCGTATGAAGAAGATATGAATTTTTGAAATTTATTAAATAATTAATAATTAAATTTAATTATTAAAATTCGATATTATCCGAAGGCGGGTCACCGGACTCATCCGAAGTACACCCCGCGTACAGCGAAGAATGTCGACACTCGCACTCAAGGACTTTGGATGACGCATGCAGTGACGAATTCAGAGCAGTACGTCCCGCGTACTCCGAGGCCTCAGCCTCCTATAAATAGGATGCGAGGGCAGCCGACTCTTTTGCTATTTTTCTCTCCC